GAAGGTAAGCAAAAAGGGAAACTCTCACAGAGCTGGATTGACATGGTGACTTGTAACCAGGACTAAGTACAATAGCAAATGTGAAGGATGACACTGAATTAAGATCTACTTCCAAAAGGTCCTTAGAAAACACAGTCCTCCTCTGACACATCGAGCATCAAAATTTGTTGATAGCTACTCTATGGCTACTGATTCCTGTTTTATATTAATGTGTGAGCATGACATATTAAGGTAAGTTCTTTCTTGGGCATTTGAAACCAGCAAAATTGAAAATATAGTATTCAAAATAAAGTGTAAATTTTAATTTCACAAGGGTCACAGTTTTGGATGATTTTGCTTCTGGCATAGCCAGCTTGAACATTCATCATTGCAATTGAGTCGGAATCAACTCCCACTTAACCCTCCATTGGGTTTACAAGGCTGAAAATTGCAAAGGAAGAGAGTTTCCATCTTCCCCCACCACCCTCTGGTAGATTTGAAGATTTGAACTGCCTCAGTGTCATGGCCTTTGAATTAGCAGCAAGACCCCCTATAAACTATGTCACCAGAGCTCCCTGATTGGATATACTAGTATAGTTTCTGACTTGATCATTGAATAAAAGTGAATGAATTAAAAAGAAGAGTATTGATTAACTAATAACTTAAAGGGTCAGTAAATTATGTGTTGAAAATGTTTAATAAAAATAAAACTGTATGAGTTCATTGATGTTAGTCATAAATAATTTTACCTAGATTCTAAATTAATCATGGTCTCTATTTCAACCAGGTCTTTTATTTCATGCTTTACTGTTGGTACTGGGATTAGAAATATAAAACAGAATACTTGACATATTTCAGCAAACAGATGTTGTCCTGGACGTGTTCACCAAGTTATACCAAGAAATCTGGAAGACAACTACCTAGCCAACTGTTTGGAAGAGATCTGTATTTATTCCTGTTTCAAATAAAGTTGACCTAACAAAGTGTGGAATATATCAAACGATATCACTAATATCACATGGAAGCAAGATCCTGCAGAAAATTATCCAGAAATGACTGAATGTCCAGGCTGGGTTTAGAAGAGGCCATGGCACTAGGGACATTATAGCCATTGTTAGATGGATCTTGGCTGAAAGAAGAGAGTACCAGAAGAATATCTATCTGTATTTCATTGACTATGCAAAGACATTTGACTGTATGGATCACAACAAGTTGTGGCTAAGATTGAGAATAATGAGAATCCTGTGAAATCTACACTTGGACCAGTAAGTAGTAGTAGTAAGGACAGAGCAGGGAAACACTGTATAATTCAGGCTAAGGAAAGGTGTGTCTTAAGGATGCACCCTATCTCCATAGCTTTTCAATCTATATGCAGAACAAATCATTTGGGAAGTTGAACTTTATGAGGAGGAATGTGGCTTCAGGATTGGAGGAAGACTCATTAACAACCTGTGTTATGCAAATGACACAACCTTGCTTGCTGAAACTGAAGAAGAGGTGTTTGCTACAGAAGGTCAAAGACAACTGTAGTCTTGAATATGGATTGAAGCTCAACATAAAGAAAAGATAGACGCTCACCACTGTGCCAATTATTGTTGTTGTTGATTTCTGTTGAGTCAAGTACTCATAGCAGCTCTGTGAACAAAAGACCTGAAACCTTTCTATAGCTATTGTTGCTCCTCCAAGTTCAGAGGGTTTCCAGAGGCATGTGGTTTAGGAAGTGGATGCCACTCCTGCTTCCAAATCTGTCTTAAACTGAGAGCTCCGCCAAACACTGTCTACATGGGCAACCGTTATGGCATTTGATACCCCAGTGGCACTCTACATGGGCAACCGTTATGTCATTTGATACCCCAGTGGCACAAGGTTCAGCATCATAGCAAACCCAGATTACCTCAGTACATCAAATTGACAGAAGAGTGCTGTACATCTTGGAAGAAACTTCCTCCAAAATATAATAATACTATGTCCTGGGGCCCAACAGACAAACCGACAAGGGTTGGCTCTCTCTCTCTCCATATATATTTGATTCACCAACAAGATTATCTATCTATCTATCTATCTATCTATCTATCTATCTATCTATCTATCTATCTATCTTGTTGTTAGGTGCCATGAATCGAATATGACTTATAGCAACACTAGGAACAAACGACCTGAATCTTATTCTATAACTATCATTGTTTCTCTATGTTCATCAAGTTTCCAGAGCCATGTGGTTTAGGAAGTAGATGCCATTCCTGATTCCAAACCTGAATCCATCTGGGAGCTCCACCAAACATTGCCCACGATGGGTAGCAATTTTGGTGTTTGACACATCTAGCCCTACGGAGGAGCACACATAACATTTCCCCCTCTTCTTCTAGAAAGCATCTGGAATGCAAGAAACTTTGCAGAGAAAATTAATGTTCTGGTGTCTCTGAGCCTGCCAATACTAAAGGGAGTGAGAACCCTTGTTCTGTCCCCAAAATCCAGGAGAGTGCTAAGCACATGGATACCGCAAACCAGAAGCACCACGGCAGAGTCCCACCTAATGCCCTCCTCCCAGGGATTACAGACCAATCAGAAGCTTCATAATAGACAAAGAAAAAAATTAGATTGTTGATAATTAATGTCAGCTTGCTTGATTCCATAATCAACAGACTTGGTACCAACAGTCTAGAAATTAAAGATAAATTGCATTGGGAAAGTCTGTGGTCAGGGACCTCACTAGAGTATTGAAGAGCAGCGATGTCAGTCTGGAGAATAAGGTGCATCTGATCCAGGCCATGATCTTTGCAATTACTTGCTATTCATCAGAGAGCTGTACAATGGCTAAGGATTACAGAAAAAGGATCAATACTTTGTAGTTGTGGTCCTAGAGAAGAGTGTTGAATATCCATGGACTTCCAGGAGAACAAACAGGTCTTTCCTGGAAAGGATAAAACCAGGCTTTTCCCTGGAGGCAAGGATTTTTTAGTCTCCATCTCACATACATTGGACATATGACCAGGAGGGACCAGTCCTTATAGAGGGACATTATACTTGGAGAAGTGGAGTGACAGCACAGTAGAGGAAGACCCAGGATGGAATGGATTGACTCAGTGACTGGAGAAATGGGATTGGAGGCAATGTGATTGGTTCAGAATAGGGTAGGTTTCAGAGTTCATGTACATAGGGCCACTATGAGTCTCAGGTGACTTGATGGCACGTAACAACAGGAGAAAAATGTAGCAAGAGTACATCCTTGGTAACCCTTTGGTGCAGTTTCTCTTTAATCTGTCCTTTAGCTTTTCTGTGAATAAGAATAAACTTTATGGTTTGTGACAATAACTGTAATAAGATTTCAATTTAATTTTATGCAGAATAATACAATCTAAGACTCAATCTATAGACTTAAACAAAGATAAACTAAACAATAAATCTTAAAAAAAGTATCTCAATAAGGAAACAAAGTGAATGCTCTCAATTCTAGTATATAAAGCAAATAGTTTTTTAATTCTGAGCTTGGAAAAAAATTGTTCTCCTCTAGATCATTTATCCATGAACTTAAATTATTCCTTGAACTTGTCTGTCCTTTCTATTTTCATAGCTTCCATACCTTATTAGTATCATTCTTATAACTCAGCTAATCAGAGATACAAAGTGGTCTTTTAGGGTTTAAAAACTCTTCTAGCCAATAGAGATGCTTCAGAGTTATAAGATTTACAATCCCAAATTGATTACCCCAGACTTGATATTCCAAGATTATTGCTGTTAGGTGATGTCAAGTTGATTATGACTTATAGCAACCCTTTGACCAACGAACCTTGCCTTACCCTGCCCCATCTTCACTACCTCTGATATGCTCAAACCGATTGTTACAGTCCCTGTGTCAATCCATCTTATTGAAGGTCTTTCTCTCTTTCTCTGACCCTCCACTTTTCTCAGTATGATATCTTTTGCAAAGGACTGAGCATTCCTGACAATATGCCCAAAATCTGTGAGAAGTTTGACCATGCTTGCCTCTAAGGAGCATACTGGTTGCCTTCCTTCAGGACAGACTAGTTTGTCCTTCTCCAACAACTTAATTGACCATATATTATCATACCCTTACCTAAAGATGCACTAAAAATTTCTTCTGTTTCTGCATTCCCTCGTGTGCTCTCACCCTTTCCATAATATAATTACCATTCTGTTTTTAAAATTTAGTCAAAATGTTTACACTTTAAAGCCTTCTTTAAGAATCTCAGTGTGAAAGTATTCACTCCTCACAATATATTATCGTATTACTTGATTTTGTCACTCACTAGTTTTGCATCCCTCTGTTCCCATCATTAAGACTATGCATTTCTTTGAAGTTCCTCCTTATTTTTGTATCTACAAAACCTGGCACTCAGTAGGAATTCAATAAACAGACAGGATGAATTATCTGTGACTGGTGTAAATCATAAAATTTTATTAAGACTGACTTTAGACCTCAGTTTTCTTCTACTTTTAAATAGGGCTATATTCTTATATTTTTATTCTAAGTTCAAGCTAATAAAAGGAAAATGTTGGCTAAATTTATAAAAACAGCATCTGTGACTTTGCGGGAAAGAATTTAGGCATATTATCTCAGCTGGCCTTCTCTCACAAGTTGGTTCCTTAATGACAGATGGGATTTAATTGCTCCTTAAATACTTCTACCATTTATGCTTCCACAATACTGCCCACTAACCATTTAGCACTTCGGTAGTAGTTTTCTTTCCAAAAATCATTAATTGTACTATGAATTTTTATTCATGTTAAAGAACAACAACCAAGAAGAATGTCAAAATCACTTATTCATTTATGAGGAGACATAAGTGGAAAACTCTGAAATTTTAATTCCAGAAGTGATGAGTTAAAATAATAAAGTATATACTGAAAAGTCAAGTAAATGAATAAAGTAACCATTAGAAAAATAATAAAAAGCATTTATCCATTGGGAGACTTAACTGAACTCATTGCTTTTTTCAGGAAAATATTTAGTTATGTGTTCCATTATGCCAAGGACAGACTGGCCCTTTCCAGACACTTACCCTCTGACAGCATGAATAAGTCTCAATGATGGATAGGCAGTTCGCACTTTCAGTTTATTCTTTAGGATTAACGCATTAACCCATTCCACGTGCTTCTCTCCTCCTTTGACCATGAAAGCAGGGATCCAAAGGACACTGTCATTCAGCATGGAAAGTCTGTGCACGAATTTTTCTCTGTCACTCTCATTCCGAAAGCCTCCAAATGCTCTTTGTACAACTGATGGATTCATAGTAATAAAATCAGATTTAGTTCCCACGTCTGCAGAGAACTCCACCACAGGAGCTAAATTGCACCTAAAGAGGGGGAAAATGGACATTTGAAAAAGAAATATGAAACATTTGTTCATAAAGTAGTCTGCATGTAAAGCAAAATGGGCAACAAACAGCTCCAACATGTTACATCAGGGAGAAAATAATATAAAAATTCTACAAGGTAAAATTACATTTTCACTAAGTGGCCACTTAATTCAACCTCTAGCCTAAAAATACTCTTTGCTGTTTCCTTCATAACCATTGGACAAGAATTCCTAATTCCTAGGAAAATTCATCATGGTAAATTCTCAAGAGCCATACCAAGTAACCCTATGTTCCTCTACCTATAAGTAAACACATTGGACCTGAGTTCCCAATTTGCACCATTTGGTAAGTGTAAGTCATTTGAACAACTTTGTATATATAAGTAAATGAAGATGGCTTTCCTGTACCTTAGGATTAAGGGGAAAGAACAACTCCTTCAGGGATTTTTTACACGCATATTTGAAATACCCTTCTATGGGCTGAAATAAGAATGTAAAATTAAAAAAAAAGTAGTCACCAGATGCTCTGCTGGAGCAGGAGGGGTAATCTCTTCCTGTACCAGTCAGATCCGGTTTGACAGTACACACACAAAAATTATAAAAAATCAAATAAAATAAAATGTACCCTGGATCAAAGTGCTGAGAAATCAATTTTTTTTTAAAAGTAGTATAACATTGAATATGTGTTTTTGAGATTCTAAGCAATTACAAAAACCTCCTTTATGTGCCTTTGATAATCATCCTGGGCACAGAATGCCTGCCTTCCCTGTGAGATCCTATGCACCCTCTGGAGAAGTAAGGATAATGATGTGTCCTATACTCACCACTGGACAACAGAGAGAAGGCTACATTGGCCTAGTGGACAGAAAGTTATGCTATCAAGCCCAAGGTGGGTAATTTTAACCTGTGGCCCTCAGGCCTGGTTCAAATTGTTGTTGTTTTTTTGTCAAACATTCTTCTAAGTGGTATAGCACTGGTCTGTGCCTTGCTGTACAGAGGTAACTCTGTGGTTGCTGTGATGCTAAACACTGTGACACTGCTGTGCCAAGTGTGATAATGGTTACACATGGTGGACAGTGTTTGGTGGAGCTTCCCAATTAAAACAAGCTTGGAAGCAGAAGTGGCATCCACTTCTGAAATGGCTTGCCTCCAGAAACTCTATGAACTGTGCTCAGGCTTTTTGTTTATAGTGTCGCATGAGTCGTCTACAACTCAACGGCACCTAACAACAACATACTCTCCACTATCTTAGGTGGGAGAAAAATGTTGCACTTTTTATGTCTCTAAATATGTCAGCCTTGAAAACCTCATGAGGCAGTCCTATTCTGCCCTATATTGTTGCTATAAGTCAGAATCAAGGGCCTTATCAAGTGCCTACACTGCTTTTCTTCCTGTAACTATTACAATAAACAAAGCCTTGGGAAGCACCTTGAATTTCTTCTTCAATTAGCAATGCTTCTTTGAATTGGTCACATGGATCTTTTGTCATTTGAGTGCTTTATTTTAAAAATCACTTTTTTCATTTTCTAAAAAAATGCGTTTCAATAAACTAATAGGTGAAAAACTGATTTTTAACAAACAATAGTTTCCTAAGCTGTAAAAAACCCATTTTCATTTACTGAAGCAATGTTGTTCTAGTTGTTTTTGTTATGTTCTACTGAGTCGACTACAACAAAGAGAGATCCTATGAACAATGGCTCTGAAATGTGGCTGTCATCTCTAACACACCTGATTCCACTGTCACAATCACTGTGTCACTCCATCTTATCTGGGGTCTACCACTACAGCACTGACCCTCTACCCTTCCAAGCATGATGTCATTCTCCAAAGACTGGACCCTCTTGACAACATGCCCCAAGGATGTGTGAGGGAGCTTCAAAATCCTTTCCTCCAAAGAGCAACCCCTTAGAGATTTATCCCTTGAAAATAAACATGTGCACATATGAGCATACATGTACATAGAGTATAGAGGAGTTTTGTTTTCTGTATTCAAAATTTTAAAGGAAAGAAATAGAAGCTATTTTCCTGCACATGCAGTTTTGCAAATTTGATTGCATGACGAAACAAACTTTCACATTTCTCTTTCTTGTGCATTTTCCTAGACCAATTAAATTCTCAAATATGGTTAATTTTAATTAAAAAGAAGCAAACAATATGCTATTAAAAATACTGGCTTGTGTACCCTTTCTTATCTCTCTTAATTAATATGCCTTACTACTTTCCAGGTCGCTGGCTACATTTAACAATCAAAGAAATATCTTTCAGCTCACACAATTAAGCAAATTTTGGTTTTTAGGCTGAATTATGCAGAGGAAAAAAATTAACTCATTATTTAGATATCAACAATCATTTCTCTTCATATATCTTTAATTACACCTAAATTAGAATATTTACCTGTACTTACTCATCATTTCCAAGCTTAGAGAAAGACATTATGCTTGGAAAGGTGGAGGGAGAGCACAGAAGAGGAAAACTCCAGATAAGATGGACTGACACAGTGACTGTGGTAATGAGAAGTGTGTCAGAGACAGTGAGATTGAATCAGGATAGAGCAGAGTTCTGAGCTATTGTACATAGGGTCACTATGAGTTGCAAGTAACTTGACAGCACATAACAACAACAACAATAACTCATAATTTCAAGGAGCTTTAGTAGCCTAGTGTGTAAGGAGTTGCACTGCTAATACAAAAGTAGGGAGTTCAAATCCACCAGCTGGTACTAGTTCAAATCAACACCTGAAGAATAATGGATGATCTCATCTTGTGTGATTTACACCCTCTGAAAACCCACTGGAGAATCAGCTGTAAGAATGGTTTCCAAATCCATGGCAATGATGACTGACTGACACTATCTGGAATTAAATATTATTTATCTGTATCACAGTAAAGATATTATCATAAGACAACATTGATAAACATCAAATATATTTGAAAATAAACTAAAATGAACGTCTTATTATGGAATCCTCAGAAGGTGATGATTTAATAATCTTAAAATGTACTCCATGTCAGGGTTTTTGTTTTGTTTGTTTTTTCCTTTCTTTTTAAAATTTTATACTGATTTATTTACAAAGTTTGAATACATTGTTTTTCAAAAAATATCCTCCCAAGTACTCTAGACTCTTAACCCATCTTAGTAGAATATGAATTTAGAAATTGTGAAGTAAATACTTTCTGAACATTATTATCACATACATTTTTTTCCCTTCCTTGGGGTAAAACCAGAAAACTGTCATTGTTGTTGACATTGCAGTTAACATATTTCTATCAGGGGAGATGGCTTCAGATAAATCTTTATGCTGTAAGAATTCCTCAGCAATTTCTATCAGAGAATTTTCACTGTAGAAAAACAACAGCTATACTTTATTTTCTCTAAAACTGCAAAATAATTAGTATCAATATTATTCTGCTAAATTAACTTGCAAGTGTGTGTCACTGTGGTTTCTATCTCCTGTGGTGCCCTTGGTAATTCAAACTGTCAAAGACTCACAGTCACTGCGCATGGCATGATTTCAGAGGAGTCTGTCCATCTCCTGAGGATGAAGAAGGACAGCTGGTGGATTCGAATCTCCTCCCTTAGGAGTTGGTGCTAAGCAGCATCACCAGAGCTCCAAAGATGCAGAGTGGATTATATTTGGGTGTAGGGGGTGGGGTTTGGGAAGGTGCGGGGGGAGGGGGGATTGTGTACCAATGAGGGAGTTTTTCTTTAGCTTTTCAAGGAGAGGAGCAAATGGGGGGGAGGGGGAGGGGTTTGTGCGGGGAGAAGGGTTCAACAATGAATGAATGGAATCCCAAAATCTCTGTAGATGTTCATTGAAATGAAAAATAAACAACCTAAATAAAAACAAAACAAAACAAAACAAAACAAAAAACCCACAAAGATGCAGGGTAGGAAACTGCCTCAGAGAGAGGCTTACGGAAAAGAACCACAAGCCTCTGGTTTGGCAACACAACTCCTTACCACTAGACCAGGTAAGAAATTTAACTAGTGCAAGAACAAAGCTAATTATTCTTTGCTTTCCAATACTTTTCCTTACAATGTATTTACATCCTTTCACCTCATTGTTTGCCAATGTTCCCTATTTTCAGACTCATGCAACTTGTTTCTGTAACATGGTTGTTGCTGTTATGTACCATTGATTTCTCTGCAGCTTGTCGTGATCTTATGTAACTCTGAACCCTGCACTATCCTGAGACAGTCTCCCTATCTCCAACATTCCTATCCCTAATACTTTAGTTACTGTGTCAGTTGATCTCACCCAGCATCTCCTTCTCCTGTCCTTCTCCAAGGACTGGTACCTCCTGGCCACATGTCCAAAGTATATAAAATGGTGCTTCAAAATCCTCGCCTCCAAGGAGCAACTTGGTCTTCACCCTTTCCAGGTCAAAGCTGTTTGTTCTCTTGGCAGTCTATGAATATTCTATATTCTTCTATAGCACCACCAAAGAGGTCCCTGACAGCAGATTTTTCCAAGGCAATTTGTCTTTAAATTGAGTGACTAACATGATTATCTAGTCATAAATCTTAACAGTGAACAAGAAGTTTATTTATGAAATTTGAGTTGAGTACTGAAAGACAAGTACTTTCTACATTAAAAGCAAAAAAGAAATTTAGTAGAATGAGAGTTTCTAGATTATGAGGTTGGTCTATGGGATGAAAGAGCGTATTTGATGAAGTTAAAATATGCTGTGTGTCTTAGTGAGTGTTGCTAAGTCATGGCCTAGTGGCAAGGAGCTATGCTGACAACTCAAAGGCAGTGCAAATCCACCAGCTGTTCCGAGGGATAAATACGGAATCTTCTTTCATACAATTTACTACCTTGGAAAACTCACTGGAAAGATGGCTACGAGTCAGCTCACGCTTAACAGTAATGAACAACAACACCACGTTAATGCCAAAGGTCTTAAGGATGGCAGAGGACAGGAGACTGTTCAAATCTGTTATTCTTAGGGCTGCTGTAAGTCCTAGTGGATTTGATGTCACCTAATAACATAAGAA